GCACCTGCATAGGAGACCCAGAGGAAGCTCCTGGCTCCTGGCTTCAAATTGGCGCAGCTCCGGCTGTTGCAGCCAATTGGGGAGTGAACCATCAGATGGAAGACCTCTCTCTCTCTCTCTCTCTCTCTGCCTCTCCTCTCTCTATGTAACTCTTTATTTCAAATAAATAAGTAAGTATTTTAAAAAGTGTTAATTGTTAAATTAACAACAGGAGTCACTTTGCACTAACTCCCCATTCAGGACCTCTGTCCTCAGTGGGTTGCATTATGAGAGTAAACCGTAAAACCAGTTCTCAAACAGTTGTGTGTGTGTGTGTGTGTGTGTGTGCAAATTGTTGAAATCTTTACTGAATATAGAATTGGTCTTCTGTGTATAAAGTTAATTAAAAATGAATGTTAATGGAGAACGAGACTGGGAAAGGGAGAGGGAGGAGTAAGTGGGGTGGGAGTAGGGGTGGGAAGGTAGGTATGGTTGGAAGAATCACTATATACCTAAAGTTGTAGTTATGAAATTTGTACTCATTAAATAAAAGGTTTCTTTGGGAAAATAAATGAAGTGTGAAGTGTGAATGAATAAGAAAAGATTTTTATAAAGAAATACATTTGAACAATAATATATAGGGAAAGTGGAATGAAATTGTGACCTCAAAGAATCCATAATATGTATATGTATATGTATGTATACACATGCATGTATATATATATTGCATATATGTCTGTAAGCATTATGTATAGGGACATATCTAGATATATAACATTATAGATATATATCTTATTCATATACTTGTACTATTGAAAAAATATATATTAATGGCAAATTATCAATATTAGATTCCACTGCTGTATAAATACATGCAGTGTAATATTTTTATTTTGAAATATACATATTTACATACTGCAAAAGGAATGAACTAATTATGGCCTATTTAATATGTAATCTAAATTTTAGATGGAATTTAATATATTCCAAAGGAGTGCTTCCTATTTCTAAAGGATTTTATGTGGGACATGATCAAAATAGAATTAGAGACACTAGTCAGCTATTTATCTTGCTACACAATTTTTATGTGATACAAATGACTATTTTCTTGAAGACTCTCATAAGCTTTATAAAATTATACTTTTTATAAAATCTTTCTTTTCTATTCTCCCATTCTGGAGCTCCAAATAAATGTATTTTAGCTCTTCCTAGCTTGACCCATATGTATCTGAAGCTGTCTTCTGTGTAAAATATTTCTTTGTCTTTTCTTAAAATTTTTTATTTATTTATTTGGAAGAGCTACCGAGAGGCAAGGCAGAGAGAAAGAGAGGGGTCTTCTGTCTGCTGGTTCCCTCCCCAGATGTCCACAATGGCCAGAGCTGTGCCAGTCCAGAGCCAGGAGCCAAGAGCTTCTTCCTCGTCTCCCATGTGGGTTCAGGATCCAAAGGACCTGGGCCATCTTCTACTAATTTTTCAAGCTGTAGCAGAGAGCTGGATGGGAAGTGGAGCACCTAGGACTCAAACCTGCATCTATATGGGACGCCGGCACTGCAGGAAGTGCTTAACCTGCTATGCCATAAAGCCAGCCTCTCTGTCTTTTTATTAGTTTACTTCAATATATTCTCCAGAGGTGTTCCAGCTTACTAATTATGTCCTCTGCTGTGTCTGTTCTGTTACATCCATCAATTTCCCTTTAAATTCCATTTATGCTTTGTTATTTGCATAATGTCTGTTTACATATTATTTTTATAATTTATAATTTTTCCAAATTGTTTATTTTATCATTTAATTTTGCCCACAGCTTGGAAATCAATTTATAGTTCATCTTTGATAGCCTTTATGTTGTTCCTTTGCTACTTGTATGTTCATGTTATTGAGATTGGTTTCTGGTGTTATGTATGCATCTGTAAAAATAATTTTGAAGTTTGACGATGTTTGTATCTTTTAGAGAAACTTTTCTTTATTTCCCACAGTCCTTTCATCTATTTTGAATTCAGCCACTGTAAACTAGGTTTCATAACCAGTGAAAGCTAATCGGTAAATTCGTTTGGTTGGGTGTTGCAGTTTTTCTCTGCTTTTTGGGTTTGTACCTTGTCTGGGTTCCTATAAATCCTAAGGAATTTTCTCTCTTTGCATTTGCATTTTGTGTCTCAAAATGTTGATTTCTTCTTTGACACCAGGCAAAACTCTCAAAACTCTCAGAGACAAGATGTTTCCAATATTGTACTTTCTCAGGAGAGATTTTATTTTATTTTTTGCCAGATTAGCACGCTGAAATTCTCCCTGCCTTGTTGGCATTTTGGTCCCTTTAAGCTGATCATTTTTTTTTACTGTTTATTTAGCTTTTCTAGTTGTTCCCAAAGAAGAGAGTTGGTTCAGAACAAACTAGTCCTCTGGTGCTGTTAACATTCATATTTTACTTGTGATTTTCAGCTTCTCACAGTTGTTCTACCTCATAGTCAGTCTGTTGCCCTGAATTCCTAGAACCATGGGAAGTGTGATCAGTGAGTGTTTCTACCCTCCTTTCTGTAGTTTTTGAAGATTCCATAGGGGTAGTCCCCAGCTTCTCTAACTTCCCTGCCACAGCAGTCCAAATTGTCTCTTCATGTATCAATTACCATTTATGTTGGTGGACCGGTAATACAGTGACAATCAATGTTTCAAATAATCTGTCACTCTATTTCATCCATATTTTTGTATGGTTGTACAAAATGTGAGTTTATATATGTATAGAAACTAGAGCAGATACTGTCTAAGCCCATCTCAGCCTTTTCTCTCCAATAAAAGTACAAATATACCTATGCATTGAAAATTACAGTACAATAGTTTGTTCAATGTTTTCTTTGTTTCCTGTAAAATTAAACTTAACATATATTTGTAGTCTCCAAATATCTGGCTAAACAAAATTTTAGTTACTGTAGCTGTTCTAGTAGTTATATACTTTTTCCTGAGTTCCATTAGCAGACATGGAGGCAGGTTCATGTATTTTTAGTACTTGATGGGAGGTATTCAGAAGAAAATACTAGTTATTTCTGAATTGGAGGGTAATTTTGGGTGACCCATAGAATTAGACTCTCATAGGATATTTCTTACTTTATATTCCCAGGTCATTTGGCCATTTCATCTGCCTTAGATGAAATACATTACTGTCTAGTATACTTTCATTCTTCGTCCCCCAACGCTTTAATGTCTTTCCTATGATCCCATCATTTAGCTCCTTTTAGGCTCTTGAAATTGCTTTTAATATATTTTATGTCTAAAAAAGTACCAGATTAACCCATCTAGATAAAAGCTTTTTAAATCCAAGTGAATTAATCCCCTTATATAGGAATTCCAATTAACATGATTTATTTTTCTAAACAACTCACTTGTTGCCCTTGATAGCCCCTATGAATTGAGCCATCATATTACTTTCTATTATATATATATTTAAATCCCTCTATTCATTTGTGTGTGTGCTGGTAATGAGTCATCATTTGCTGTGAGCAGCCAATTTTCCATGGTCAAAAAAGCCGTGTGTCAAGTAGCATCTTAGTCCTGCTTTATTCATGAAAAAGTTTCCTTATCCTTGCAAACTTAGTATAATAATTGCTCCGCCAAGTAATTACATGTACTGAATTACATGTATCCCTGGTATTGTATAATATTATTATATAGTTGCAGCTTTTAATTTTCTTAAATGTGCTACAAATGTATTTTTAGGACAAGTATAGGCATCAGTCATCATCTTACCTAAAATTTCTCTTTGAAATGGGAGAAATTTGATAAATATTTTTACTTGAGGTGGAATAAAATTATTATAAAGGTGAATGTATATGTAATGAGTATGGTTTACTTATGTCATAAATGGGAGAGTTAATCTGAAAAAATGATGTAGATATAATTGCCAGTGTATTTTCAAAGTTCCCTAGATGTTAATTCCATAATTTTTATTAAATTAACATCAATAGTCAAGTATCAAAAGCTTGCTTATTTTTTGTTAGAAATGAAGCATGTAAAAGTTTTTTTTTTAAATTCCGGTTTGTTGCAAATGATGACTTGGTATTGCCTAAATGTGCTCTTATTCATTTTTACCTACTAGCTAGCTTGAATATATAGCCATTAATAACTTTTCTAGCATATCAAACATTATGAAATTAAAGCTATATTTTTTTAAAATATCATAATAAATGAAGAATTCCCAAAGACTTCCAAATAATATTTTTTGGTATTTTTTCATTTTTAATGTTTTTCTTAAGATATAACTTTACCGCACTTTCATGTAGAAAATTAAGGAGCTAGATCAGTGGGCAGTCTTGACAAATGACAAAGGTTTGAACTGTGGAATATCTAAATCAGTCCAAATGTTCTTCTCAATTACATCAGCAAACCCACTCAGTAAGTCTAAAAAGCAAGTCAGATACTTTAAGGTCTTAATGAATTACATAGTTTTTTTTTTTTTTTTTTTTTTTGACAGGCAGAGTGGACAGTGAGAGAGAGACAGAGAGAAAGGTCTTCCTTTTTCTGTTGGTTCACCCTCCAATGGCCGCTGCAACCGGCGCACTGTGCTGATCTGAAGCCAGGAGCCAGGTGCTTCTCCTGGTTTCCCATGCGGGTGCAGGGCCCAAGCACTTGGGCCATCCTCCACTGGCTTCCCAGGCCACAGCAGAGAGCTAGACTGGAAGAGGAGCAACCAGGACAGAATCCGGCACCCCGACCGGGACTAGAACCCGGTGTGCCGGTGCTGCAGGTAGAGGATTAGCCTATTGAGCCGCAGCACTGGCGGAATTCCATGGTTTCTAAGAGTCCATATTCATGGGGTCAGCATAAGCTGAAAAAATAAGAATGTTTGAAAATACCTAGACATAAATAATTTTCTAATGAAAGCTTTAAAATACACATTTATCAATTAATGTACATTTTTACTGGTTATTGAATACTGTTAATAGGTTTTTTGGTTGGGTTTTGTGTTGTTGTTATTGTTGTTTACTGTTTTCTGTATTGAAGCCAACGTTTTTGATTTCTCTGCTTGTTCTCTACAGGGCTTCAAGTTCTCCTTCCAGACTATCTCCAGGAGTGCTTTGTACAAGCAGCTCTGAGCTACATCGCTTGCAATTCGGAAGGAGAGTTTATCTGCAAGGACAATGACTGCTGGTGTCAGTGTGGCCCCAGGTTCCCAGAATGCAACTGCCCCTCCATGGACATCCAAGCTGTGGAAGAGAATCTTCTTCGAGTAAGTGAAACCTGGGAAGTCTACAACAGCAACTTTGAGGAGTCAGGTAAGGCACATGTTCTCATGGAACATTTTCAAACCTTGATCAACAAATGCCTAAAAGATTTTGCCTTCCAGGAAGAATCTACTATACACTTGGAAGGTCTTTTTAATTATTCTTTCAGATGGACATACATTGCTCTTATGACTGGCTTGTCAGAATTTTGCTAAAAGAATGTCTGGTGCTTTGTGTATTACTATGCTACTGACACTACGGTAGAATCTGCTATTAAAATGATGTAGGCATTTATTAAAGAAAAGTCTTGCTTTTCTCCATGCAAGAATTTTCATCTGACAGTTCTACCTTGGCTAGTGTTCCCTGAATTTCGTTTGTGAGACCAAACATAGCATTTGTTCTACACCTTGTTTACATGAACATGATTTCCCTAAGGGCTCACCCTCATGCAACTACTTATTTTAGAAGCAAAGTGTATCCATTTTTATTTAACAGTGCATATCTTTTATGTCATTCTAAAATTTTATTAGTGTGTGTGTTTCCAATATTTTTTTTACTTATTTGCTGCATAACCTGTAGTAGTATACATGTATAAAGCATTGATATTTAAAGCAATACAAGACTATTGATAGGGCTTATTTAATAATTCATGTTAAAAGGATAACAAAAATCGCTGCAGTGTGGTGAGTTTGATTATATAGAATTTAATTGGAAATGTTTTATATGACTAAATTTTAAATAAGCAAAGATGTTTCAGCTGCAGAGATGTGCTTGTGTATTACAATTCATCTGATGTGTCATTTCTTCAAACACACTTAAAAGGTGTCCAAAATATGTATCAAACAAGAAAAAGCATGATGGTGATTTCAACAGAACATGGACTTTTGGTTGGAAAAAACCAAGGTATTATATAGAATAAAAGGGTGTCTAGATTTGGGAAGACTGATAATTTAAAAAGAGTTAAGATTATTTAGAATACATATATTTAAGCAAAAGACTTCATGAATACAAAAGAACTCACAGACGCAGAGAGAGGGATGGTAGATACCAGAGAAAGGAGATGGAGGAGCTAGAATTCTGATGACAAAATGTTACAAAGTTTCAGTTAGAAAGGATGAAAGACTTTTTTATGTTCATTGCAGAGATATGACAACAATGAATAATAATGTATTATATATTTATCAATTTTAAGTACATACATTTCACATATTTTCTTTACAAAAATGATACGTTTTTGAAGTGAAAGATACATGGATTAATCATGGCCGATTGTACACATGAATCATGACATCAAATTATACACCATAAAAGGATTTTCAAAAAGTTCATAGAAGTGCATATTTTGAAAAAACTGTGGATTTCAAGAAATGTTTGCATCAAAATAAACATTTTGTTTCAAATTTCCCTGATCTTTTTTTTTTCTGCCTTAGAATTTTTTTTTTATCTTTTATTTAATGAATATAAATTTCCAAAGTACGACTCATGGGTTACAATGGCTTCCCCCCCATACCGTCCCTCCCACCCACAACCCTCCCCTTTCCCACTCCCTCTCCCCTTCCATTCACATCAAGATTCATTTTCGATTATCTTAATATACAGAAGATCAGCTTAGTATACCTTAAGTAAGTATTTCAACAGTTTGCTCCCACACAGAAACATAAAGTGAAAAATAATAGATGATTTTTTTAAATGATGATGAAATCAGATCAGACCTATTGTCATGTTTAATCCCAGTGAGAGTTAAGTTGGGAATTGATAATTTCTTTTTTTTTTTTCTTTTTCTTTTTTTTTTTTACAGAAGATCAGTTTAGTGTACATTAAGTAAAGATTTCAATCGTTTGCACCCCCATAGAAACACAAAGTGAAATATACTGTTTGAGTACTCGTTATAGCATTAAGCCTCAGTGTACAGCATGTTAAGGACAGAGATCCTACATGAGGAGTAAGTGCACAGTGACTCCTGTTGTTGACTTTACAAATTGACACTCCTGTTTATGGCATCAGTAATCTCCCTATGCACCAGTCATGAGTTTCCAAGGCTATGGAAGCCCCTTGAGTTCTCCGACTCTTATCTTGTTTAGACACGGTCATAGTCAAAGTGGAGGTTCTCTCCTCCCTTCAGAGAAAGGCACCTCCCTCTTTGAAGACCTGTTCTTTCCACTGGGATCTCACTCACAGAGATCTTTTTGCCAGAGTGTCTTGGCTTTCCATGCCTGAAATACTCTCATGGGCTTTTCAGCCAGATCCGAGTGCCTTTAGGGCTGATTCTGAGGCCAGAGTGCTATTTAGGACATCCGCCATTCTATGAGTCTGCTGAGTATCTCACTTCCCATGTTGGATCACTCTCCCCTTTATTTATTCTATCGGTTGGTGTTAGCAGATACTAGACTTGTTTATGTGCTCCCTTTGACTCTTAGTCCTTTCATTATGATCAATTGTGAACTGAAATTGATCACTTGGAATAGTGAGATGGCATTGGCACATGCCACCTCGATGGGATTGAATTGGAATCCCCTGGTATGTTTCCAACTCTACCATTTGGGGCAAGTCAGCCCGAGCATGCCCCAAATTATACATCTCTTCCCTCTCTTATTCCCACTTTTATGTTTAACAGGGATCACATTTCAGTTAATTTTCAACACTTAAGAATAACTGTGTGATAATTACAGAATTAAACCAGTCATATTAAGTAGAACAGACAAAAAAAAATACTATGAGGGATAATGTATTAAGTTGTCCATTAGCAGTCAGGGCTATGCTGATCAAGTCACCATTTCTCATAGTGTCCATTTCACTTCAGGAGGTTTCCTTTTTGGTGTTCAGTCAGTTGTCACCGATCCCTGATCTTTTTGAAGTAGCCTTATATACAAAATGATCAGTTGTCAATTTACAACCAAATTTTAAAAGATCAACTATGAGGAGAGGATTGGCAACAAAATAGGCAAGGATGGGAAACCCAAAAGAATGATGAATGTATTCTGAGATTCTGCACTTGCTTTTCCTTTTGGCATATTTATCCATATTCAAGACATATTTCAAGACTGAGAATAAAGTATCAACCCCTGGAAAATGCTGCTGCTCCCAGATAGAGAAACCAGAAGAGCTTTTTGCAGTCACCCTAGACTTAGGTCATATAATTGGGAGCCTAAGGTGTCTTAAGTGTACAGACCATCTCTCCTCTGGGACATCTCCTTTATTCTGAATCTGCACATGACAAGTGGATAAAGATTTACACTGGTAAATCCTGGATGTGGAACTGAGTCTTTTGCAGTAGTGCAGGCTTGCCATTTCACATACTAATCAGGTAACGTGGCAGAACAGGAATAAACAGAGGAAAATAGAGTCCTATTGAAATCTAGCATTGGCACAGCTCACACTGTGATCCTTAGGAGTTGATTCTGAAAAGATCAACTCTCCATTGCAGCATCTAATAAATGATTGAGAGGGCGTGCTCCTGAGGAAGAAAACATTTTCTGGGACCACTGTGATTCTTTTTAAACAATATGATGGATATAGAATCCTAATTTATAAATATGTGTGCTGACAAAATTTTATGGATAGTATTACAGAGAAATAAACCAGAAAATAGAAGCTGTGTTATCTAGATTGTAAAACTAGAAGGAAATAATTTCAGATTATTATTACTGAAATATTTGAGCAAAAATTGGAAAGAAGTATAAAGTAGATAAAATACTGCAAACTTAATTATAGATTTGTAATATATGAAACTGATTAAAGAACATTCTAAAACAAAAAAATTGAACATCTAAAACCAATAACTCAAAGTTTCATTTTGATAGGCGTTTTTGGGACAGAGCATGATAGGGCTAGTGAACACACAGACAGATTAATGGAATATACAGAAATGAAGGCAGTGAAGACTTACATCAGCATGGCATCAGAGGCACAGTAAACCTGCAAGAAATTAAAGTTTATTCAATCAGGAACAAGGAAATCAAATGAGAGTTACTTGATGGCACCAAAATAAAAGCGTAAAGAAGAAAATGGGAAAAATTGGCACCCAGAGATAAATGTGTATTGTTTATGTCACACTCTCTCTACTACTGTGTTTGAAATAAAAAATTTAAGACTTTTATTCATTTTTCATGTGTTTGTTGAAGAGTCCCATTGGCCTCAATAAAATATGTCAAGTGAGATAAAATTCCATTGTAAATGGCATTATGTTAAATGTTACATTTTACTTGTTACATTACATTTACTAAGTAAAATATTAAAATTATAGGACTTGATAAAGTAACAGGATTGTTTCTGTTTATTAAAGATATACTTTAAATATAAAGGCACATATAATTTAAGTTGAAGAGTAGAAAATATAAATAATGTAAAAATCTTCCAAAATAATACTTGAGTAAATTCTAAATCAAGTTACATTAATTGAAATATAAATATTTTATAACAAAATAGTGCAACATGAATATATACCAAAATATTAGTTTATATGGAGCTAAACTTAAAAATTATACCAAATTAGTTAAATAGACAAAAAATAAACTTTATCCAAGACTTTTGAAACAAAGGAGAAAGACTTGTAATAGAAGAGAAAAATTGAACTCAACATTCAAGAAACCAAGGGCTGCAGGATTTTCAACAAAGGCCTGAGCTCAATGGAAAGCACTGGTGGGCATTCACAGTGAACTTGACAAGCTGGAGGAGGCCATTGGTGTCTGCTAATTATCTCTTACTGAAGTTAGGCTCCCCTTCTTCCAGAGGAACCCACCTGTTTTCCACAATCATTACATTTCAAAAGGGTGCCCCCAGATCCTGAAGAAAGGGGCAATTTTTGTGCAATATTTCCATCTCAATAAAAAGGAAGAATTTACAATTTTCTAAAATGAATGTTCTATGAACAGAGACATCAGTGATTTATCATTAACTTAGAAAAATTGAAGAGAATGTTTGACCCTCTTGGTCAAGACTTAATAACATGTATCCAAATAACATGAAGAAAAATGTCAAACACACACACACACACACACACACACAAATGTGAGATTTTAACCTGTCTTTCAATAAATGAAATTATAAATTGGATATTATTAGATTAAACATTTTTGGTTGTTGCTGCTGTAGTCTTCCTTAATTAGATGTAAATTCAGGTTTTTATGAAGATTAGTGTGTTGTTTGCCAGCTTTTTAAAGCTAATAAACTCAAGGTCTTTGCCTGTGAAAATGATGTTTATATGAAAAGTAAAGACTGATCTTTAAATAATTAGATTTACTTACAAAACAGCAGAGGTCTTTGACTTCTTTTAATGGTAAATTAATTTCAGAAACATATTGCACTAAATATTTTTATGCATCAAATAGACAGTCAATATTTATAAATTATTGGCTACAAGTTATAAGATTGAATTGTAGAGAGGTAAGATCAATAATGGAGGCATCTCTTGTCAAAAAGGATATTTGGGCATCTGAGAAGTGAGTGAGAGCTAGAAGTGGAATTTGGAAGCATTACAGGTCCAAAGTAATGGATGTTGGGTCTTCTAAAAGCAGGGAGTACAAAGCAGAATTAAATTAGTCTTTGCAAGGTCATCAATTGAGATTGAAGTCACTGCCCATGCCTAGAACATCCTAATGTCTGAAACTTGTTTAAGTGGATCAAGTACTGTCAAGTTCTATTCAAAAATAAATGAAAATATTCCCTGGGAAAAAAATAACATGTTTTAATCTCAAATGTAGTGAGCAAATATTTTCTATTTTAAATTTAATTTCTAATAAAAAACTATTTAGGTACTCTAAAACATAACACAAAATGAATAAGAAGCAGCATATGAATTGGGCTTGTGCTATCACAGACTCAGAGAGAATGTAATAAAAATACAATTAATATGTTCATAGAATTAAAGAACAAATTTTATTTTTAAAAAGAACTCCAATAGAACTTATAATATGTTAATTAGTAAAATTAGAACTAACAGTTAATCAATAGAGTAGACATAGCTTACAATTAATTAGTGTATTAAAGATAAGTTAGAGGGGAGCTGGCACTGTGGCACACTAGGTTAATCCTCCTCCTGCGGCGCCAGCATCCCATAAGGGCGCCAGTTCTAGTCCTGGTTGCTCCTCTTCCAATCCAGCTGTCTGCTGTGGCTTGGGAAAGCGGGGAAGATGGCCCAAGTGCTTGGGCCCCTGCAGGAAAAAGCACCTGGCTCCTGGCTCCGGATGGCATAGCTCCGGCCTTTGTGGCCATTTGGTGAGTGAACCAGTGAAAGGAAGACCTATCTCTCTGTCTCTCTCTGTCTCTCTGTCTCTCTGTCTCTCTCTCTCTCTCACTGTCTGTAACTCTACCTGTCAAGTAAATAAATAAAATCTTAAAAAATGATGTTAGAAGAAACTATCCAGAATAAAGAAAAATTAGAAAAAACAATAAATGTAATAAAATATTATTAGTCAACTTAGAGAATGTAGGAGAAGTCCTAACATACTTAAACGTTAAGTTGTAGTCCAAACAGAGGATGCACAGACAATGGCAAAAATAATATTTGAAGAAAATAAGAGCTGATACTTTTAAAATCATAGAAGGAAAGCAATCTGTATATTTAAAAAGCTCAAAAATGTAATGTAATTGAACAAAACTGACATTCTGAGATTTGATTGTTGGTTACAGCCCTGCTCTACTGCTGAGAAACAGTATTTTTTTTCTTTTTACTATTTGTTGACTTCTTTACATAGTGGAATGTGAAGCTTATGATCATAAAATAAACTGAAAGTATATCATTGTAAAATTTAAAAGAAAGACTAAGAAAGGAGGAAAGTTGGAGGATGGGAGTGTGGGCAAGAGGGAGGATAAGGTGAGATTTATCACTATGCTCCTAAATCTGTATATATTAGATACACGAAATTTGTTCACCTTATATACATTTAGAAAAAATGAAAAAAAAAAAAGCTCACCAATCCCCAAGTAGTAAACAAGACAGAAATCCTCATGTGCACTAAAGTTTCCATAATGAAGGTGAAGAACATGAAAAACAGTAAAGAAGATCGTAGAAGCAGCCACAGAAGAGAGCAGAAAAGATGACAAGGAGCCAGCAGATTGGGAGTGGAGTTCCCAAGTTAGAACCAGTCCACGATGCACCATATGTCAAATACGCAAGAATTCCACAACTAACTGAAACATACTATATTCCCTTGCAGGTGATCTTTTGTGCTTGTCCTTTGAGAACGTTGTCATTCTGAAATCTTGAAATAGTTTTTAAATGTAGGATTCTATTTTCAAAGTTAATTGAAAATAGATCTTTGTAAGAAAAAAAAAAGAATGGGAATAGGAGAGAGAGGAAGAATAGTGGGAGTGTGGGCGGGAGGGAGGGTAGGGTGAGAAGAATCACTAAATTTGTATACATGAAATTCATGATGTTTGTATACCTTAAATAAATGGTTTCTAGGTAAAAATAAATAAGTAAATGCAAGATTTATTTCTTTCATTTTTACCTTAGATATGTTTTGCTTTGGAATTCACTAGTTTCCTGAATTTTTCTTCAATTCTCGAAGTTTTCCACTTACTGCAACTCCAAAGTGCCCTCTCTCCACTCTGCTCATATCCATTCTGGAAAGCTGGGAAATACATATATATGGAATCCACGTGCTTTCTGGAATTCTTAAATTATTGCATGTATTAATGTAGAAAAATACGTAGAAATTGTTCTGGAATGCCCATTGTATCTCTTGCAGTTCCCTTGTTAAAGTGTTCTTCAGCTCATCTTTTTGTGTTGTCATGCAGATACATGTCATCTTCCAGTTGACAAATTTTCAATTTTTTTCAATATGCCCCTACTTCATTTCTATTTTCAATTACTTATATTCATTTCTACAATTTTCAGTTGGGCTTATCTCTTTATTCAATATTTTTAGCTTTAAGTAAATTTTTATACGTTTAATGCCCCATTTTTTCTTTAAACAAAATTAATTTAAATTGTATTTAAATTTTCGATTTATGACCCTTGGAACATAACCACCAAAAATTGCTGGGGCTCTGTGGGTATTCTTGGCATAGGCCACAGAGCTGAGAGGGTCAGAGGTCATGACTGAGTTCCTGTGAGCCCGCCAGACCTAACTTCAGAGCTCTGTACACACTGGCGATGCATGCTGTGGACAGGTCATTGCCCTGTACAGCTTGCGTGCATAGTGGATTGGGAGTGCTGGGACTGTGAGCTCATTTTAGTTTGTAAAGCAGCTGGTTCACCCTGGCACACATAAGATTGGGGTTGTGAACACAACAGCCCCTCTCCCCATTGCTTATAGCCAGAGGTGCCCCACCATGCCCAATTTGAGCGACACTCTAAACTGTTCCTGCACCTTCAAACAATTGTCAGAGATTCCTGGCCCCACATAGTGCACAGCCCTCGTACTCATGTGTAAGTCTTAGAGCTCCAGAAGCACATTCCCAGGAATAAAACCTTCAATCAAAAAAAAAAAAAAAAAAAAAAAAAACGCAGCAGAGGAGATAGTAACGACAAATTCCCCAGATTAAAAAAATTAAGTAAACTGAAAATAGATCTTCATAAAAATTAGGAGTGGGGATGTGAGCGGGAGGTGGAAGAAGGGGAAATCCATGGCTGTATTTTATGACGCTCCAATTTTCAGTCCACAACGACAGTCCTGAGTGACGTGGGCCTCTGCTGGTTCTCGCCTCCCACAGCTTCCGCCTCTCTGTTGGAATCTGACTGGAGTCTCTGCTCGCCCCCAGAATTAACAAGCCCTTCCCCAAGGAGAAAAGGCCAGCATTCACCCCGAGAGTACTCTGCTCTGCAGATGAACTCAGTGGGAATCAGGAGAATGTCTTGTTAGTTCTTGTGTGGGTCTGGGCTCTCACAGTCTCTCATGTCCTAGCTGAAAAGAAAAGGTATTTGTTTCCCTGTATCGAGGTATATTTACATAAAATAAAATTCACTCACTTTACACACACACTCTGAACGTTTTGGGCAGCTGTGGCAGTCAGATAGCCATCACGACAATGGAACTTTCTGATTCCCTAGTCCTCAGTGAAGACGATCTATTGATATATTCTGATGTGGTTCTTCTCTTCTAGACAATGCTGTCTTATTGCATTATTTCCTCTATACAGTAGCACTTGTTATCCACAGTTTCCCTTTCTGTGATACCAACTACTTGTGGTAAACTGCAGTCCAGAAATATTAAATGTAGAATCCAGAAACAATTTTTGAGTTTTGCACTCTTATGAGTGGTGGGATGAAATTCTAGGCCACCCCACCTGGCCCAGGAAGTGAATTATCCCTGTGTCCAGCATATCCTAATAATCCACTACCTGTCCATTATCAGCCTAGGAGGCATCCAGCTGGTGAGATGGACTGTTCTTATTCTCAGGTAATGCTCAGTCAATGATTAAGTCATGATTAAGTCAAATCAGTTACTGATTTGGTCCCATGGTGCAAAGATAGTGGTGCTGGCAATTCTGGAGCACCAAAGAAAAGCATATTTGAAAAGATGAAGTTTCTAGACTTAATAAAGAAAAAAGAATTATACACTGATGTTGCTAAGATCTGCAGGAAGAGTGAATCTTCTACCTGGGCTGTGGTGTAGTGGGTAAAGCTGCCACCTGCAGTGGGGCATCCCATATGGGTACCAGTTAGAGTCCCGGCTGCTCCACTTCCTATCCAGCTCTCTGCTATGGCCTGTAAAAGCAGTAGAAGATGGCCCAAGTGTTTGGGCCCCTGCACCCTCATGATTGACCTGGAAGAAGCTCCTGAATCCTGGCTTCAGATTGGTACTTCTCCAGCCATTGCAGCCATCTGGAGACTGAACCAGTGGATGGAAGACCTCTCTGTCTCTCTCCTGCCACCTCTCTGTAACTCTGCCTTTCAAAGAAGTAAATATATCTTTTTAAAAAATCTTCTATTTGTGAAACTGTGGAGAAGGAAAGAGAAATTTTTGGTAGTTTGGTCATCACACCTGAAACTGCAACAATTATGGCCACAGAGTGTGAGAAGAGGCCAGTTTAAGATGCAAAAGACACTACTTTGGTGTGTGGAGGACATGGAGCAAACACGTGGCTCCATTCTTATTGCGTTCCCAGAACACAGAATCAGGCTTGCACACAGTAGGCATGCAACACATATTTATTGAATGGATACTTTCTTTCAAGTCCAGTTTCCTTTAATATATTTACACACAGGAGATTGCTAGGAAATCCAATAATTCACCAGAAAACTGTGTCACTGCTTTATTCCATTTTGATTTATCACATCAGAATGGCCCCTACTCTGTACATAGGATTACTGGATTGAATTGAAACTGTGAATTATGATTCAGTTTATACTTTTTGTGTAGACATCACCTGAAAGTTATTTAAACTTCTGTCATTATCCGTAGAGAAGCATTTTATGTCATTCTCACCTATGTGTAAGTTCACAGGGAGACTTCCCTGCTGAAAAGCATTTCTTGTGATGTAGGCTTTCTAAGTTTCTCTGTATGATTTCTCTCTATGCACAACTTCCACTCTGCAGGGAATATTATTTACCCAATATTCTTTCCTCTACCTCAAAGTTGCAAGCGCTCTCAAGGAACTCACTAACAAGATATAGACATAACATTTATCATCTCATATGTGTTTTGCTTTTCTTTGAACCCCTTGCCCCTTAAACTCAAAGTCTACAACAAATCTTAGTCTTTAAAGGCCCATAACAAAGAAAAGAAAACTAAAAATGAGAAAATCGCACAACCCAATTGGCGTTCTTCCTTTGAGCTCTGTGGGATTCTCTATTTCCCAAGACATTGGATCCCAAAGAACAGCAATTTTGGCTGTTCCTTCTCTGGGTAGTTTGCCTGCTGCAGAGTCCATTAATAGGAGAGAGAGAGAGAGAGAGAGAGAGAGAGAGAGAGAGAGAGAAATGGTAAAGTCTAGGCTGCTGTCACTGTGATTTCTTGTTATTTTGGAGGGCAGCATTTCGTGGACATTTTTGTGCCAAGCCATGAAGAGTTGCCGTGTGCAGCAGAGGCGACTGTGTCTGGAGACTTAAGGGACATATCCTATAAAGGAGACAAAAGCAGGGAGAATAATTCTTACCCCCAAAATCTAATAAAAATTACAGAAAATGTATTACTACTTTGACATAATCTATCCTTTGTTCCTAATTGTCCCTACCAAATTTTGTCAAAGTTATTGGAGAGTGAGTTTTAGATATTGATTAAATATACAACTATTGCTGGCGCCATGGCTCAATAGGCTAATCCTCTGCCTGTGGCACCAGCACTCTAGGTTCTAGTCCCGGTTGGGGCACCAGATTCTGTCCTGGTCGCTTCTCTTCCATTCCAGCTCTCTGCTGTGGCCCGGGAGTGCAGTGGAGGATGGCCCAAGTGCTTGGGCCCTGCACCCGCATGGGGGACCAGAAGAAGCACCTGGCTCCTGGCTTCGGATCAGTGCAGTATGCCAGTCGCAGTGCGCCGGCCACAGCGGCCATTGTGGGGTGAACCAACAGAAAAAGGAAGACCTTTCTCTCTGTCTCTCTCTCTCACTGTCCACTCTTCCTGTCCAAAAAAAATTACAATATTCTATTGTAATGCTGCAACTCATAGATCATTTGAGAGGTCAAAGGGACACATGTGTGTCACCTCTTTGTGTAATTAATTAAAACATTCTTACATATGAACGAAAAGTAGAAATAAACTGTTAGCACAAATAAACACTCTTGCTTCCATTCCTACCATTTCTATCACCCAAATACAAAAATAAGGAGAATTTTTTAGGTAAAGTATTAAGTGCCATTGGAGAAACTGGCCAACTCTTCAGGCCCAGAACGTTTTTGCAGGGATTTTCTTACACTTCGTTTCCTGTTTCTCCCCTGTTTTGTTTAATCAGAACTCTAATTTCTCTGCTACATTCATTCTTACTCTACATATTCTTATGCCTGAAAGTCTGTCACATCATTGCCTTTATATTGAACTATTGGCCTATTTTTTTAAGTCAATGGCTTGACTAAACCAGACAATTCATCAATTTGTATAATGATAGCTAGTCTCCAGAAGAGTTCAAGACCATGGGGGTAGTGAAAGGTTGGAGTGAGTACTAAGTGGCCTTCCTTCTCCTGAGACCACACAGTGAGTTTTGACGTATAAGTTGCAACTGCTTGGCGAAGACATCTGACCAGGATGGACACAGCTCTCACACATTTTAAAATACTTATTTAGTTTGTAGGCAAAAATATACTTTTCCACAAGGTAGCCTCCAGAGGACAGAAATCATTTCTTTGTCTATAGACAATAATTAATTCACAGAATTATCAGTTACCTACAACTTAACAGAGTTACAAAACAGTTTTTGAAAATCAGAACAGGTAACCTGGGAGCATGCTATGGATAATGAACAGATTTCCATCAAAGTATGGACATTGTCCTGAAAACATTAGGGTGATGATATATTAAAAACGTACACAGCAAACTCAGATGTATAAAAGACAGAGTGAAACTTGTATTTCTCAGCAATTGCTCAGACTTTATAGCTTTTGATGTCAGAATAGTAGTATTTCCACCTGCAAAAACTGGAGAAAGGATAGATCATGAGAAAGTTGATGATGATTTGGGATTTGTTCTTTTAAGAATTTTTCCTTACTTATTTTATTGTATTTGAAACAGAGAGAGAGAGAAAGAGAGAGAGAGAGAGAATAGAGAATTTCCATCAACAGAGGCACAGCCCACGAGAGCTGGCCCTTGGCCAGTCAAAAGCCAGAGACCCCTAAATCAGTCTGTGTCTCCCATGTGGGCAGCCAGCACTCAGTATTGGAGCCATCACCTGCTCTTCCTAGGGTGCACGTTAGCTGTAAGCTGGAACTGAGGCAGAGCCAGGACTCACTCAAGCACTCTATGTGAGATGAAGAAGCACTGGGTGAGCCCCAGATGCCTGCTTCAGACTGGGAGGTTGTGTTACCTACCTAGATGGCACTCGTTTATGGCCTGGAACATTTCATGCTTAAGTTGACTTTGCATAACTGATCTGAGAAAAACAGAACCGTATGAGGGGCAACTATGAATGCCGCATCTTCACATAAATCATTAGGTCATTTTTCCTCTGGCCTGTGGCCTGGAGTACATGTACAGAATTTTATAGCACCCTTTCTTCTTTGAAACCACTGCCTCAGGTTTTGGCTTTTGTGGGTATTTGCCCAATCTGTCTGGTGGAGTTCATCCAATTCTGAGAACAAGCGAGGAGGCTGACTTCACATTTGTTGTTCGGTTGCCTCATAGTTCCTCATCTCTTTGGCTGTGGAAGTCTGGCCTGAAGATACCAGTAGGGAAAGGAGATCACCATTCTTTCCAAATAGCGTCATTTTCTAAACGACTATTGACATTGTGAAGCTATTCGAGCTAACCTATTAAAACATGAAAAAGGCCGTCGAGCTGGCTTGCTAAATTTGCAGCAATGCTCTCAGTCAGGAGATTGGGAGGCTGCCTTCAGAATAATACACAGCTTTGACAGGGAACACAGGGACTCTGAATTCATACACCTAGGAAGAGCAAGGTGCACTCAGAACACCGGATCTTAGGATGTGCTTGCTCAGAATTAATAAACTTAAAGATGTTAAAGGAAAAGGTAGCTGTTTCTACTTAGCTTTGTGTTATCATAATTTAGTGTATTTTCTCTGTTTTATTCACAAATATAATGTTTCTCTTTGCCTTTCCATTGATGTATTTCTTTTAGCAAAAAAGAACATAAATTAATATAAGCTGCAAGAGAAATATAATCACATGATTTATTTGAATTTTGGTTACTATCCTAAGCAATGCTGCCTAAGATCCACTTTCCCTGATGTACATTTATGTACAACTTCTTTATAAGACTTACAGAAAAATGTTTTTAAAATGGTAGTTTTTTTCTTATAAGAGTTATTCTAATATTTTTTGTGGAAGAAAAAAATGAAATTCATTGTTTTCATTTATCCCATTGTGATGGTTTTCATGGCTTGAAGTTTGGGTAAAATGCAACGAAAATATCTAATGGAACGTTTGAGGAAAACAATATATTTGAGTCATTAGGACATCAGATATAGATATGAGAAAACTATTGATACTTTGAGGATGAAAGGCAACGTCTGCCCTTTGAAGGTCAATAATCTGATTCTATAAAAGAACTGAACCAGAGAAAAGACATACAAACTTATTAATGTGCAAGTGCACGGGAGTCACAGAATGAGTAACACTCATCCAGAAAGCCGCAGCTGGAACACCCTCTTACTAGGGGACGGGGAACTGAGGGCAGTAAGCTATTGTAGAGGAAGAGTAAATAATTTGAGAGATTGATTAAAGAGTGGAAGAACATACTGTATCCTGGGAAAATTCCTGTGGGCCCTTGGGGAGGTGAAGATAAGTGATTTATGGCGACAGTGGCTGCCTTGGGATGCAAGTAGCCTTCTAAGCTAACCACCCCTAGAAGAGCAGATGAGAAGTCCGTCCAGCTGAGTGTGTGACTGGCCCTTACTTTCTGCTGCAGTGGTTGATCTTGCTGGTTAATGGCATCTCTGAGAAGTGATCGGGGCAATGGCACTCCTTCTGGAAGAACTTCCCTTACTCATATAAAGGGACTTCAGGGGAAGCCGCTTCCTGAGCTCTGGGCGAGGAGAACTGATGCTGGGCAAGAGGTTCTGAGGATGGTCGGGAGGGTTGGGAGAAGCGGGAGTTCAGATCACCCTTAGGTTGTGTCTAGAGTGGAGACTGCTGTGGGCTAAGTTAGATCAAAATTTATATTTCGGGCTCTTGCCTCTTACTTAGAGAAGAATCCGAAGCACAGGCTCAAACACGACATGCAGCATGACAAAGTTCAGAAGTTGTGTAGAAAACGAGAAGAATCCACAGGACCGTGAGGGCTTTATTAAGGGAGAGTGGGCAAGCAGGCTAAACAGGGCTCTCTGTACCAGTCCCTCCCCAGTCCACGAGGAGAGAGGGGAGCAGTCCAGAGAGCCCAAGTGAGTGAGCAGGCTGCAAGCCAGAGGGGCTGCAGGCTAGAGAGAGGGGCAGGAGCAGTGGCATGGGAGTGGGCAGGTCCAGCGCTCTGCAGGCCTTTTATTCACTTCCAAAAAGGGAGTGGCTACATAGTCTGATTGACAGACCTGGAGGCAAGGAGGGGAGGTGGCCTCCAGCTCATGAACCTAATCTACCTATCTGACCAGTCCCATATCAACAGCATTTTTTTTGAGCTCTAGCAATACAATGCAAATTAAGTGTCTTTGTTTCTGCATCAGTATATTCTATAAATTTGAAATTTATTTTTCAGAGATTTTTCTTTGGTGAAGATGTCAATACTGTAGTGCATGAAGACCATTTTATAATGCAGTGATATCCATGTTGTGATCTTCACCTACTTACGGTTCCTGGAAAGCCCATATACCTGATACTTGTATTGTTTCTCAAAAGCATCCTCCTGCTAGACAACACAACTATTGATGAAAGCAATAAAATAACAAAACTATAAACAAGACTAAACAACGTGAGACTGAATGTCTTTTAACATTATTATAAAATATTTTAGAAATTATTACAATAACATTTATCAATTGTCTAAAAGTAGAATAGTAGACGGAGAACCCCAGATCGAGATTTACTTCTTGGAGGCTCTGTGTTTGTGCTTCAGAGTGGAGAAGACACAAGAACACAGAGGTGCCCAAGACTTCTGAAGCTTGAATCACTAATTTGATATACCTTTTTTTTTTTTAACAGGCAGAGTGGACAGTGAGAGAGAGAGAGACAGAGAGAAAGGTCTTCCTTTGCCGTTGGTTCACCCTCCAATGGCCGCCGCGGCCAGTGTGCTGTGGCCAGCGCACCGCGCTGATCTGATGGCAGGAGCCAGGTGCTTCTCCTGGTCTCCCATGGGGTGCAGGGCCCAAGCACTTGGGTCATTCTCCACTGCACTCCCTGGCCACAGCAGAGAGCTGGCCTGGAAGAGGGGCAACCAGGACAGAATCCGGCGCCCCGACCAGGACTAGAACCTGGTGTGCCGGCGCTGCTAGGTGGAGGATTAGCTTATTGAGCCGTGGCGCTGGCCTAATTTGATATACCCTTAATAATAGAAATTTATATTCCAAAGGGTAAGAACCTAGGATCCTTCCCCTTTGAGTATACAGGGAAATTATTTAAACTAGGGACAAAATATCCTTCTCCTTATTTGAGGATGGGAGTAGGGGCAGCTGGCCACCTGCTTTCAGATCTTTGCAACTCCTTGCCCACAGTGCAAACTCCAGTGCACAAGAGCAGCCTCTTGCTTTGTTCTCATTATGAAGGGGGATGTTTGGACTCAGGGAACCAGGATGGCCATTGGATTTATGAAACAGAATTATTCTATGATCCCAAAACCATGTGACTGGGGCCAGGGTCATGGTGAAGCAGGTCGAGCCACCGCCTGCGACAGTGGCATCCCCTGTAAGTATCATGTTTCAGATGCTTGCCAGCCAATCCACCTTCCTGTATACAGCCTGGGGAAAAGCAGTTAGAGGTGGCCCAAGTGCTTGGGCTCCTGCCACCCACACGGGGGACCTGTAAGAAGCTCTGGCTCCTGGCTTTGGCCTGGCTCAGGCCTGGCTGTTGTAGGCATCTGATGAGTTAACCAGAAGATGGAAGATTTCTCGCTCCTTCTCTCCCTCGTTCTCTGTATCTCTGACTTACAAATAAGCAAATATTTAAAAAAGTAACTGCATTTATGATAATATTAATAAATATAGATATTGAAAAGTTCTCTCCTCCCTTCAGAGAAAGGTACCTCCTTCTTTGATGACCCATTCTTTCCACTGGGATCTCACTCACGGAGATCTTTCATTTAGGTTTTTTTTTTTTTTTTCCCCCAGAGTGTCTTGGCTTTCCATGCCTGAAATACTCTCATGGGCTTTTCAGCTGGATCCGCATGCCTTAAGGGCTGATTCTGAGGCCAGAGTGCTGTTTAGGACATCTGCCATTCTATGAGTCTGCTGAGTATCTCACTTCCCATGTTGGATCATTCTCCCTTTTTTATTCTATCAGCTAATATTTGCAGACACTATTCTTGTTTATGTGATCCCTTTGGTTCTTAGTCCTATCATTATGATCAATTGTGAACAGAAATTGATCACTGGGACTAGTGAGATGGCATTGGTACATGCCACCTTGATGGGATTGAATTGGAATCCCCTGGTATGTTTCTAACTCTACCATTTGAGGTAAGTCAGCTTGAGCATGTCCCAAATTGTACATCTCTTCCCTCTCTTATTCCCACTCTTATATTTAACAGCGATCACTTTTCAGTTAAGTTTCAGCACTTAAGAAGAATTGTGTATTGATTACAGTATTCAACCAAAAGTATTAAAAAAAAAACTAAATGAAAGATCTCCACGAGTGAGATCCCAGTGAAAAGAATGGGTCATCAAAGAAGGAGGTACCTTTCTCTGAAGGGAGGAGAGAACTTCCACTTTGACCATGGCCTTGTCTAAATATGATCAGAGTCAGTGAACTCAGGGGGCTTTCATAGCCTTGGCAGCTCATGACAAGAGCCTAGGGTGATTACTGATGCCATAAACAGGCGGCCATTGGAGGGTGAACCAACGGCAAAGGAAGACCTTTCTCTCTGTCTCTCTCTCTCACTGTCCACTCTGCCTGTCAAAAAAAAAAAAAAAAAAAGGAGTGTCAATTTGTAAAGTCAACAACAGGAGTCACTGTGCACTTACTCCTCATGTAGGATCTTTGTCCTTAGTGTGCTGTACATTGAGATTTAATGCTATAACTAGTACTCAAACAGGATTTTTCACTTTATGTTTCTGTGTGGGATCAAACTGTTGAAATCTTTACTTAATGTATGCTAAACTGATCTTCTGTATATAAAGAGAATAAAATGAATCTTGATGTGAATGGAAGGGGAGAGGGAGTGGATAAGGGGAGGGTTGTGGGTGGGAGGGACGTTATGGGGGGAAGCCATTGTAATCCATATTCTGTACTTTGGAAATTTATATTCATTAAATAAAAGTTTAAAAAATAAAAAAAGAAAAGTTCACACACAGAAATCTGAAACAATTATTTTAATCTGTAAGTATTGCTAAATCTCTTTGAAAATGTTTTCAAGTTTCTAGTCTGTGCTTGAACATTCTAACTTATCTCTGAAACTATAACAGGAGATTACACTGAAATGCCCATTACACCTCAGAATTATGCCAACAGAAGAGTTGGTCCAAAAATTTATAACGCTTGCTTAAGCAGATCAATACTCTGTGGCCATTCATTGAATTGTTGAACAGTTTTTACCATTAGCATATCGTTAGAATTTCCAAAGAAATGATGAACAAATATTTTAAAACGTTTAAGTGAGGTTTTCAGTGGTGCTGAGGCTCAGCACTTCTCTCACGGTCACCTCCATCTGAAAGTACACAGTGTTCAGCTCCCGTCTGAGCTTGATTTTCTCACTCAGCTCTTTCACAAGGTCAGAGACCGTGGAAGACCGTGTCGTCAGACACCTAAACCCAACCAGGTAGGACTACACTGTAAATTAGCTTAGATAGACTCAGACAAGTCAACCAATATCATAACTGAGAGAGTCCGGCTTCCATAAAGGGATTTTTACTAGTAGTTAGTGACGAGATACATATTATGAGATACCTCAATGTGAAAGAGTTTACACAGAGTTCGTGATTGGATTCTTCTTTTGGAGTTTCCATATTTCACATTCACTTTCTTACCAGTAGTTGGGAAAGAAAATGAAAGGGTTCTCCAAGAAATTTTAAAAATGAGTATTTTAAAAGCAAATTTTCAAAATTAGATATATAAATGACAAAATCTAAGAAAAAAACTACACAGAAAGCCGCTTTAGAGACAGGTATTCCTGAATACACAGCTGTCACAGAAACTCGTATTTCTAACTCAGACGTATCTATTCTAAGATAAATTTCTTTTCAGTTAGAATGCGGTCCTTAACATTGCATGCAAACTGTTTCTTCCATAGATTAAACATGAGACGTCTTCTCTAAAGTTTTATTTGTTCACTTTAAAATCATAGTTATGCACACAGAGCTAGAAACACACACACACACACAGAGAGAGAGAGAGAGAGAGAGAGAGAGAGCTGGAGAGAGAGACCCTTCATCCGCTGGTTCACTCCACAGATGACTGTGCTGGACTGAGCTTGGCTAGGCCAAGGTCAGGAGCCAGTAATTCCATCTAGGTCTCCCTCATGGGTGTCGCGGAAGCAAATACTTGAGCCATCATCTGCTACCTTCCCAGGCACATTTGCAGGGAGCCGGATCCAAAGTGGAGGAGTGGGGCTGAAGCGATGCTCCAGGACCAGGCTAACCTGCTGCGCACTTCACCTGCCCCAGATACAGCTTTTGCAGCAGAAAGGCTGTAGGCTACAATACCTGAATTGAAAGCAACAGCCTTTTCTTTTCTGGAACCATTGTCCCAAGCACAGGACATGTCACTGATCTATGCTCTGAGTTCCTGGGGTAATGGCATCTTTAAAGGAAAAAGCAATCGATTCATGGTAAGCGACCTCCGGCTAATTCTCCAATTAGTTGACGATTTGGATGTGGAATGTGCCCTAAGTGTTGTGTGGAGTGTGAAATTCAGGCAGGGAAGGTGCCCACCTGTGATATTGTCAAGAAAGCAGATGGCTGAGAAAATACAGTTTCTGCAATTATTTCACAGTTGAAACTCATTTTAGTCAATGTAGTATTATTATTAAAATTTAGTTCTTAAAATTTGCATTAGGAAAATCATACAAGTATTTTCATTTTTCTGTTATAATTTACCAAGTTTATTGGTAGACATTCACATTATTACCAAAGCATGAAAGAGAAATAATGTGGTCCTTGTAATCTGCTATATGAATGCAAAACTGTGATTGTTGAAATGCAACTTTAATACA